AATAGTAAAGACAACAGTTCCAGCCCTTAGTTTTGAAATCTGTAGCTAGGTGTGGCAGCTCCCACTTGTAACCACAGCACTTCAGGAGGTTGAGGTGAGTAGACCACTTGAGCCTAGGAGTTAGACACTAGCCTGGACAACATAGTGAGAATCCATCTCAAAAATAATAAAAATAACTGACTGGCCTAATCCAAGTATAAAATCACATCTGATCTTAAGACAGACACCAATGTCACATCCACACCGAGAAAATGCCAGTGTCCAGGACTCAAGGTAAATGTTGGAGATAGAAAGGATAGCCTGAAAAATGACAATTTGGGTGTCCTGAAGCATGACAAATCCAAATACAGTGAGACTTCATTTAGTTTTACCCTTGATCATTTCTGGATTCTGCCAAAGGCCAATGAAAATAAATCAGCACATAAAAACACAAAGAAGAAAGGAATAAAATGAGATTTTCTAACCCAGCTGACTTTAGGTTAAGGTCAAATTTTTTGTTTACAACAAACAAAAAATTTCAAAATGAGGCATGCTTAAATGTATTATCCAGTGTTAAGTCTCAGTTTATGTACATTGAGTAAGATATCTCTTACCTAGGAGGAATTTTGCCTTTGAACCAAGACAACCCCGACAAGTTCAAAAATTAAGTTCTAAAACCAATTTAAAAAGTAACCCCTGTAATCCCAGCACTTTGGCAGGCCAAGGCGGGTGAATCACAATGTCAGGAATTTGAGACCAGCCCAACCACCATGGTGAAACCCCTCTACTAAAAATACAAAAAATTAGCTGGGCATGGTCACACGTGCCTGTAATCCCAATTTGGGATTACAAGGATATCTTCTTCTTAGGAAGCTAAGGCAGGAGAATCACTTGAACCTGGGAGGCAGAGGCTGCAGTGAGCCACGACTGTGCCACTGCACTCCAGCATGGGCGACAGAGTGAGACTCGGTCTCAAAAAAAAGTAATCCCAACTACAAATTTTACGTTTTCTTATGTTTAGGAAGCATATCTACTAAGTGCTCAGAGGTTCGAAGTACTTTTGTTTCCTTATTAATGTACACCATGATCTTTCACAATACAGAAACATTGATGCCGAACCAACAGGTGATACAGACTCTAAAGGTTGTGCTTAACGACATTAATACCCAGATGCTACTCGTATTCTCATATATATTCATTAAAATTTGATGGTAGACATTTGTTTAGGGGCTGAAAGGTTTTAGTCTAAAATTAGATCTCCATTTTTATTCATGGATTGTTATTCCCATAGAGCAACCTCATCTACTTTCCTAGTTGAGTCAACTGATTCCACTTATCTGAAGATAATTACAAATGTAGACTGTAGTAGTACTAGGAAAAATAACATTGTTTGATTCAATTTCAAAGTATCCACTGTGCATTTAGTTTTTATTATGATACATGTACAGACTTTCACCTGAAAGGCCCTAGAAATACCCTGTAATGAACACACTCAGAACCTGGACTTCAGTTTCTAAATAATATTCCCTATTCTAAGAAGCCAGCAATTCTTCGAGGAATGGCCCATTCCAGGGCTGAAAGAGAGTATGTCTATGATAAGCCTAGGAAACTTTATGAGCCGAAAAGTATGTTGATCAGAGTAAAGAATATACTGGAACTCTTTCAACTATTTTAATTTTGGAGTTGAAGGAAACCTGTAATATTGATAAGTTACCCCAAAACATCAATCTGAAGTTTGACTAAGGGGATTCACTGCAGATAAAACTCCATTCAGCCTTTTTTTTTTTTTTTTTTTAAATAAAGCTTGTTCTTGGCTAAGTTCAACGTAACTAGTCTCAGACAGCATCTTGTTCACTGCTGCTACCTTACTCCGTCACTTAATCTACTTTTCAGTTCCTTATATGTATGTATGTCTCAGAGGCTTTTACTAGCCTCTAAATAGTCCCTGGGGCCCACTTACCTCAAATGTTCTTACCTTCAAATGGCTGACTCACTCTCTCAATCATGTCTTACTTTAAAAATTATCTTCCAGCCAGGCACAGTGGTTCATGTCTGTAATCCCAGCACTTTGGGAGGCCAAGGTGGGTGGATCACCTGAGTCCTGGAGTTCAAGAACAGCCTGGCCAACATGGCAAAACCCTTGTCCTCAAAAAGCACAAAAATTAGCTGGGGGTGGTGGCATGAACCTGTGATCCCAGCTACTTGAGAGGCTGAGTGAGGTGGGAGATCACTTGAGCCAGGAAGGTCAAGGTTGCAGTGAGCCAAGATTGCACCAATGCACTTCGGCCTGGGCAAATGAAGTAAGACCTTGTCTCAAACAAGTAACAAAAAATCTTCCATGGAAACGTGATCCCCATCCTCACTTGAAATATTCTTAACAGGTGGTTTTCAGTGTTCCAAACCCATTAAAAGGACTTTCACAGCTAACCTTTCTATGGACTGGCCACTTGTCTTTCTACCTGTATTTCTAGTTATTTCAATTCCTTGAATGTTCCCTCAATTGTTCTGTTCTGGGACCTTTGCCTGTATTTCCTCCTGTTCCTCCACCTGAACTACACACTGCTCAGAGGCCCTTCCCCTCACTTCACAAACTCCTACAGATTCTTGAAATCTCAGCTAAAAGCTCTCATACAAATTTTGAGCATTCTAGTAGAAACTATTTTACAACCTCATGAAGTTTTTCAGAGCTGCAATTGACTAATACATCATGAATGATAAAATTATGAATACTATGAACTCTGGATATGAGATCTGTCAACTTCTGGCACTCATATATTTAATCACACATTTCCAGTTCCTACTTTTTGGCTTTAAGTTTAAATCATGTAAGAAACTGGCCAGGGGTAATGGCTCACGCCTTAATCCCAACACTTTGCGAGGCCAAGGTGGGAGGATCACTTGAAGTCAAGAGTTTGAGACCAGCCTGGTCAACAAAAACCCCATCTCTACTAAAAATACAAAATCAGCTGGGCTTGGTGGCGCATGCCTGTAATCCCAACTACTTGGGAGGTTGAGGCACGAGAATCGCTTGAACCTGGGAAGTGGCAGTTGCAGTGAGCCAAGATCATGTCACTGCACTCCAGCCTAGGCAACAGAGCGAGACTCTGTCTCAACAATAAAAATAAAACATGTGAGAAACTAAAAAGCATTGCTTGTATTTTATGCAATGTTTTATTCTGGGTTTCAAAATAATAAAACTCAGTTTGTCCACAAAACCTACAAATGCTCAACTTCCAATACAAAAATTAAACAACCAAATTGACTTATTTCCTGCCAGCAATCTATTTCTAAATTAATATACCCCATTTCTTCTTTTATTCAGACTCTTGAGGATGACATGTTCGTGCCTCAATAACCCACTCTAAGTCAAAAATATCATTTAAGTAGAAGATGCATTTAATAACCCAGTAAATTCATAAAAGCTGAAATCTTTAACACGAACCACTGTAAGTCAGAGACTGTCTATACTAAGGATTTTAGTGAATAATTTCTGTAAACTGGAAAACCTGATAGTTTGATGTCAAAAGGAAGAAACACAAGATACAAAGCATACTGTATTTTTTGAAATATAATACAACAATCAAAATTTCTTATGGATAAACACTTATCCTTAAGTAAAATAATTTCATATACTAACAAGGATATTTCCATTTCTGTAAAGTCATGTAAATAATCCTTAATCAGGCAAGAACTTGGCTCTTTATCCAGGTTACATTTTAATGTCTGGAGTTTTAATCTAGCATACAAAAATCACCAGTATACATCTCTTAATTGCAGTATTATTTCACCATCACCATTTACATGTACTTTTCAGGTATCAGAGACTTAGTGCTTTAAGTAGCAAATTACCTAAATTATGAACACATGTTTTCAAAAACAAAACCAAGCTCATAATTATGTGTATACAGTGCAGATTTTAAAAAACTAAATTAGCATATATTTTTTTCTAAAGCTCCTATGCAGAACTTACAGTCTTCTGCACTATCAATCTATTCTGCACATTTAAAATAAAATTTTTTTAATTTAAAGTAAAAAATATAAAGGCTTAAATTTTTGTAAGACTAACCCATAAAAAGAAATCCAATTTTAAACCAATCCCTGAAACCAAAGCATTCAAATATTTGAACATTAGTTCAATATTTCTACATAGCACGGTAAGATTTTCACAAACAGTTACTATAAGTTTTGTCTTTATTTTTAATAATGGGAATGGCCTACAATTCAGATAAACCTACAAATTCATACTGTTTATAAACAGCAGTAATATTAATATAAACAGTTAATTCTGCTATCTTAGGAGCCTTACCATATCATTAATCTATTCACAGAACAAAAATATTTCTATGAAAGCTAATATATCCTTTCATGTTTGTTTGTTAAGTATGCTAAAACAGAAAATGAGGTAGAATCCCATTTTTCTTTAGTACCATTCCATAAGCCAATTCCACAGAATTAAGTTATTTTTGCAACTTAAAATAGTGATGCTAATACTGCTTCAGTAAGCTAGATTTACTGATGTAAGAATCCTAAGAAATTATGTGGCTTTCAGACATCCATGTTAAACTACTGACTCATCAATTTGTGGAATTTGTAGAACACTTACCATTCTTCAATGACCATAAAGCAAACAGTGCTAAAATTGTTTCTAATCAAAGTTTTCTTTGTTAAGTGACTATATTTCATCATTTCTAACAGGCAAAAACGAAACCTACTTGGCAGTCTGCATTGGCTGGTGGAAACTACAATCAGAGCGTAAAGACAAATCTTCAAGTGTCTCAAAAATGTTTGTAGATAACTCAGAATATAATCTATTGGGAACTATGGAATTCCATTTTAGTCTTCAAATAACAAACTCCACTTAGCAGGGGTAGTAAGGTTGCTCTTAAAACTGTAGATTTAGAGAACATAGTGGCCTCAGCACAAAATAACTCACTCTAGACATCACTACTCTTCTCTCTTCAAAAAAAAGTATACATATTCATTTAAAAAAAAAAACACCCAAAATATCACCAGAACATTTTATAAAATTAAATCCAAATTTTATTAAGGATTTCAAGTTACACACTTTAAATTTCTAGAATGGAATGGAATCACTTTGGAACTGCAAAAATGGCATAAACACTGACATCTCCTGAAACTTCAGTATTATAAAGAAAATTCTTCTGCAAACCACATCTCCATTATATAACAAGACTAGGTATTATCTACACCGTCACTTTGGCAATAGCTATTTCCTAAAAGAATGAAAAAGATGATTTTGCTACTTCAGTTCATTAAAAATGGGATTCTATCTTTAAAGTTCAGAAAAGGCTGTGTTTAGATGAACTATGGTTAAAAAACAACAACAACAAAAAAAAGAGTCTCTAATCAAAGCAAAGGAAATCATTTAAAATAAAGAGAAAAAAGCTATTATTATTGGTTAAGGATTTCCAGTAGTAAGTTAAAATCTCAGGAGAGGAATGGATAGCACTACAAACAACGTGTTCACATTCTAAGACCTTAACACTAACTTCTCAAAAAGGAAGTTTTCATTACCCCTAAAAATAAATTCAATGTAATTTTATTAAGAGCAGGAAATCTAGACCTTCCTCTAATGACAATCCAATAGTCCACCCTTGCTGTCATCAAAAAAAACTTCAACTCCAAAATTAACAGTAATTAGCCTGAGGTATTGTAAATGTGGCTCTACAGTCTGAAATTTTACGGCATCTTTTGTCAAAAATAGTCTTCTTTCCACTTTAGTCTCATGACTACAATACTATATAGTGCTATCCCTGTAGTATTTACTACAATACAGTCATCAAAAATATCTGAAAAAAATTCTTGGACCTTATGAAATAGCGCATCCAATCACTTCTATAAAAATAGGAGCCACACAAAGATCTAAGAGAGTGCTACCTGCCCAGATCCAGAACAGAGGTTAACTTAGGTTAACTTTGCTCTTATCTTAACCTTTGTTAACCTGTTTTCCAGTTTAGTTGTCAAAGAGTAATGTGAACAAAATGCTGAGTGTCACACTGGCATTACAAATAGGCCCAAAATTTTGCGCTTTTAATGAGATTGAGAAACATTTTAAGAGATTTAACTCAATATGCCTTAACACATTCATGAGGTAGTTAAGTAAACAGTACTACCCATTTTAATACATAGTAAGCAGAACCATGGGTAAGTGACATACTCATATTTTAAGCAGTAAGAATTAGAAGAAACCACAGAAGCTTTGGGCCTTCTCTCTAGTTCTAACCCAAAGAAAATGAATTTTTTTTTAAAGCATCAAATCATTTAAGATTTTCTTCTTTCTTTTTTATACTTGCTTATTAGTATAGTATCTCTTTCCAAAGCTGGTACCCTTTCTTAAATAATGTGGTAAAAACTGAGTATAACCCTTAATTCAAGCTAGGCCTCTGCTTCTACCTGAATTGGTACAAAATTAAGACATTATCTTATAAGAACTAAAATTGTATTTGAAATTTTTATTTTAGGCTGCAAAAACAAAAACAAGCAAACGAACAACAAATAACTTGAAAATAGGCTTGTCAAATGATGTAAATTCATCCTTTCCAGGAAAGCAGAAAGTAGACCCTACCACAAAGAAAAGATGCTTAGTTAATAGAGGTTAAATTTAAAAGTACAAAATTCAGGCTAACTTCTGAAAATCCTGTTTTATTCACCTCACTGTGGTACCAATAACTATACTGAATCAGGTTACTTTACAATTAACTGTGTCACCTATGTAACACAATAATCCATTAACAATCTAATACAGTTACTGAGTGTGGTCATACTGGAAATTCTTAACCATATAAGCTGTCTTGCCAATTTTTTTTTTTTAAACGATGAATTATCTTAGTATAAGTCACTGCATTTCTGTAACAAAGTAATGAAAGGCACAGCTAATCCAAGCGGACTTAACCCTATTCAACAACCAGCTGAAAAAATACTTTGGTTCTTCAAGGAAAAAATTACGAAAAAAGAAAAAGTATTTCCTTTAACAGCTGTTAATTTTCATAGCTGTACCCCAAGAGCTACATAAAAATATTCCAGAAGAACCAAGTTATGTAGCAATGAATGAACATGCGTGACAGAATCTGTGCATTCAACATATCTGGCAGAAAAACTAGTTAAAATGCTAGGTAGAACAAATTGGTCTTTAAAATATCAGTTTCCTGTCCTTAAAAAAAAAATTACCTAGTCTACCAAGAAAATACAAAAACATAAGGCTGTAAGTAAATAAGAGTTGTGTTTAGGCTATTACAGTGCAGGTTATCCTCAAGGCCACATACATCCTGCTTCACTGCTGCTTGCACTCTGCTGGGTTTTGATCCTTCTGTTAAAGGAAAACAACAAGTCAATCTATCTTCTTCTACCTGCTTCAGTGAATTTCTCAATAGTAATTACTGCCTTAATTATAACAGTAGCTCACTGTTGTCAAAAAAAAAAAAAAAAAAAGGGGGGGTATAAGACAATGATGGTAAATTATTTATTTTAATAGCAAGTCACTGAAATGCTAAAATCAAGCTCAAACTTTACACTGCAGTATTAACTCCATAAAATGTGACACACACTAAACCATAATCTTAAAAAATAAAATTACCAAGCAATTTACGTTAGTTATATTAGCAATCAGCTTTGCTTTTGCCTCAGGAATAATAAACTAGGACTCTCAGGGACTGAATAAAAGTAGATGGAAGGATTTAACAAACTCTACTGCTCCCTAGTTCCGGAACACTCCTGCAACGAGGTCTTTCAAAACCGTTTGTTTAAAAAGCTTTCCTTAGAAAGGAAAATAATCTAAAATCACATGCAATTGTTTTTTCTAATGCATAAAAACTGTTAATTTGTCTCATTAAAATAGAATTCTAGAGGTTCGCTGTGCCTGAAACTACAGAAAGCACAAAGCCTAAGCAAAAAAATGTTTTTTAGAAAAAGTCCACTGAAATTATGTGTACTGTTCAAAATGCCAGTGGGACTGAAAAAAGAAAACGTTATCCAGCCAACAGGCTTTATTTACTAAAGACTTTAACAGAGAGAAATAAACTTGGTATTCAGAAATACCAACTCTTACTTTAGTCTGTCTGAAATTTAATAGAAAGCAGCACTAATTTTGCTCACCTTCGGGTCATAGTCTGGATCATTTTCCTCATCTTCTTCTTCCCCTTCCTATATTAAAGTTCAAAATGCATCCATGAAGTATGTACATAGTAGGTAAATTGGCTCATAATGTAGGGAAAATTTAATACAAGTTACTCTACGGGTCAACAGATTTTCATGATTACAGAGTCTGATGATAACACAATTTAATCTGAAAGCTTCTAATATGAAAAATTTCCCAACACAACTTGAGACATCCAGACAGCTTTTATTGAAAATAGTTACTGCAGCCAACGTTGAAAAAGTTTACTGCAGCTTTTGACTTCTTCAAAGAGCTGATAACCCTGCAGCAGAACAAAATTATTTGAAATAAAAAAATGTTGCTGAGTTTTGCAATTTATTTATTGAAACCTTATACATACATTGTTTGGCTGTAGAATTCTAAAGTCTTATTTTCCAAAATGTTTTTTATCCCAAATCACAGAATGATTATAGCAAAGGAATACATAAGTCATTCAATTTGCTTCTCAATTGTTAAACATATTTGCTCATTTGGTAAACATTACCTCATCCGCTTCTTCACCTTCTTCATCATACTGAAAAGGAAAAACAGCGTGTAAGCAAATTTAACACACATTTCAGAGTAACATTAGTAACATTCATCACTGTGTAAACTAGTATCTCAAAAGAAAAAACGTACTTTCCTATCAAGGGGGTTGATTATAAATTAAAACACATACTAGCTGCAAGAATCACTCAGCTCACTGCAAATTGGTAAAACTAAAGAAGAGAGTACAATCGTGGATAAAGTACAATCAGACAACTATTACTGTACATATTATCCACACCTAACTGTGGAATGCACTGTACAAAAAGGTCCTAAACCCTACTCTTAACAACTGCCATTGAGCAACAGAAATATGCAAAACATCTATATGCAGCCTAATCTTAACCTACTCATCACTCAATACTACCTTGAATGAAAATCTACACTTCCCAGTAAACATTTTCTTGTACACTAAAAGAAGTCCTAGTTCTGTGAAGTCAAGGCAAGAGCACAGATATATAGCAATAACCAAAGTTTCACAAACTCAGAACAATCTTATTAGCAGAAAATTTAAATCTAAGATAAATGAATCCAAAAACCCTAAGGAGATATACTTAAAATCCAGAAAAGCTATATACAGAACATCAATAATTAGCCTAATTTTGACTTATATTATGGTCTTGCTTCTTAAAAATTAAATCTTACCTATTTCCCATTCTAACCACTATACTCTCGCCCAATTATTTCTTTGCAGGATTCAAATTCACTTACATCATCATCATCATCTTCAATAGCTTCTCCAGTAAAGTATAACACTGATCTTGGGATTATACGCTCACGTAAAAAGTGACCAATTTCGAAGTCTGCAGCAAGGATAGCTTCAGCATCATCATCCTATTTTTAAAGGAAAACAAAAGAAGAAAATTTAGGAATAACTTTGTTACTTAATTTGGCACATGTAAGACTCTTAGAGGCTGGGCGTTGTGGCTTGCGCCTATAGTACCAACACTTCAGGAAGCCAACATGGGAGGATCATTTGAGCCCAGAAGTTCAAGACCAGCCTAGACCATGTAGTGAGACCCCCATCTCTACAAAAAATAAACAATTAGCTGGGCATGGTGGCACAAGCCTGTAATCTCAGCTACTTGAGAGGCTAAGGTAGGGGAATTGCTGGAGCCCAGCAGCTTGAGGCTGAAATAAGCTGTGATCACGTCACTGCACTCCAGAGCCTGGGAAACCAAAAAAAAAAAAAAAAAAAAAGACTATGATGAAAGGAAGAAATCCTCAATTTTACTTTTTACTTTCCATTATTTTTCTCACACCATGTTAACAAATGATTTGTCAGTACTCAAATAGCTGTACAGTTTTAAGTCTACTAATCCCAAATGAGATAGAGTCCTAGTTCAGAAAGACAATATAGTAACTAAATCAGATACCCCTAGCACTTTTCTTTTTTAGAGACAGGGTCTCACTGTGTTGCCCAGGCTGGCCTCAAGTGATCCTTCCACCTCTGCCACCACAGCAGCTGGGATTACAGGTACCTGAAGCTGTACCTGGCTTAGGATTTCTATTTAATGGCAAACACACGGCACAAGTGGGTCTGACATTATTCACAATTAAAACAATCCCACTTTAGGCCGGGTGTGGTGGCTCACACCTATAATCCCAGCACTTTCGGAGGCTGAGTTGGGTGGATCACAAGGTCAGGAGTTCGAGACCAGCCTGGCCAACGTGGTGAAACCCCATCTCTACTAAAAATACAAAAATTAGCTGGGCATGGTGCGGGCACCTATAATCCCAAGGTACTCAGGAGGCTGAGGTAGGAGAATCGCTTGAAACAGGAAGGCAGAGGTTGCTGTGAGCCGAGATCATGCCACTGTACTCCAGCTTAAGCAAAAGAGCAAAACTCCATCTCAAAAAAATAAATAAAAATTTTAAAATCCCACTTTAAGTTCTATGATACTAAACAATAAGCACACCCTCTGTGAATTTTATGAATGTTTGAGTCAAAAACACAATCTAATAAATGAAAAAGTCCAAAAGGGTGGGGGCGGAGAGGGATTCAAACCACAGGTGAAGTTTTCTATCCATAACTAATACTGTTTTGTCATCAATATTTAGTAACAAAAAAAAGAACTTGAACACAAACTCCAACCCATCCATTGATACGAAAACAGTGTGATGCTCTATCTTAATACTTAAAGTAGTTCTTCTTGCCTAAAATTCATAGTGCTTTGTATTTCCTTTCATTGTCCTGCAAGCCAAGCCACAAATACTTTTGCCTTTTGCAGATTTGTTCTAAGTCTTAGCCAAGATTATTCCAATTCAAAAGTATTCTGTTTAAGTTAATTTCTAATTCTACATATAAAAACTATTTAAACTATCTCAGTTAATTTAAATTCAAAACCCTGTCCAAAAGAAAATCAAATTCAAAATATACCTGCCCTACCTTGTATGTACAGACTTTCTTTAAGGTTGTTCCTCAGTTCAGGCTATATGGCAGGAACCTTTCATAGTTATTTGCCATATGCAATATACATGAACATACACAGTCACAATATGAAACCGTATTTACACTGGAATAACAAATACAGGAATGAATTCTAACCATAATGTAGCTAGGAATTTAACAGTATAAATGACCTAATACATTCTGGTTTTACTAAGGAAGACATAGTTTTGAAAAGTTAAATACCTCACATCAATATTTTTAAGTCTCAAAAGAAAGAAAACCTTAAACTTTTTAATCTCAGTGTTTCTCAGCAGAGGTACTGCTATCATTTTGAATGGAACAATTTTTCAGATCCAAAAAGCCTGCCTCATGCATTGCAGGCCTCAGAACTCAATGTAACAACCACCTCACTCTCTACTTTTGAAATTCAGTGCTTTAATTTCAAATACAGTAAACAATTCAATAAATGAATATTCAACTATTCAACTTACCAGATCTCCACTCTCGGGAACTGCAAAATTGAGAAAAGAAATTAAAATGAATAAGAAGCTGTACAATGCTTACTATAAAACCACCATTAATACTTAGGCAAAAACATTATTTACCTTCAGGAGGGGCAAAAAAATTAAAGAAAGAGTCATTGGAAACTGTTTTAGTCACAGTACGAACTGTCCCGCGTCCCTTGTGTTTCTGCTTCTTCTTGATGGTTTTCAAAGTGACATTCTTTCCTTTTTTCCAATCTATCTGGCACCTTGCAAAACAAAGAAAAATCTATCACAATTGACAATCTTTCAATTGCTAAACTTTTAGAAGTAAATGTTATATTTAGATTTCAAATTTTAGAAGGGTGAAATGCTTCAAGTGTTTTCTATAGCAGTATAAAGGGAAAAATTTTCTTCCTAAGCAACTATTTAAAATAAACATATTTACGATTAGCATAAACATAAAGTATGATTTAAAGAAGCATTCCTTTGCAGAAATATATGTGAGACAGTCATGGGCCCAAGGAGAATTATAGGAAAATTGATAAGCACTTCTCAGAAAACATCTTTTTTTTTTTTTTTTTTTTTGAGACAGAGTTTCACTCTTGTTACCCAGGCTGGAGTGCAATGGCGCGATCTCGGCTCACTGCAACCTCCACCTCTCGGGTTCAAACAATTCTCCTGCCTCAGCCTCCCGAGTAGCTGGGATTACAAGCACATGCCACCATGCCCAGCTAATTTTTTGTATTTTAAGTAGAGACGGGGTTTCACCATGTTGACCAGGATGGTCTCGATGTCTTGACCTCATGATCCACCCGCCTCGGCCTCCCAGAGTGCTGGGATTACAGGCTTGAGCCACCGCACCCGGCCCTCAGAAAACATCTTACCAAAATGTTCAGAGACAGACTATGTACATGTGTAACTGGAAATAAGTATACAAATAAAGTATAACAAAAATAAAAAACATTTTATTAAGGTAGTAAAATTAAACTCACCCTGTACAACCCATAATTTCTGGTCCATCAAAAGAAAAGGGATCAGAATCATCTGGTTCTGACCTCATCCTATATGTCTTTGTCAGCACTTCATTTGTAAAATATTCATTGGGCTCAAAGTGAAATTCTAAGACAAAACTCTAGGGTAAGAGGAATAAAAATCAGTTAATTACCTACTTCATAAATTTCACCACTTTAGTAAATGCAGCTAAATCTGTGTTTTTTATAAACATACATAATATTCTAAGTGATATGTTTTTTCTATTCTGAAATACAATTTTTGTTTTTTGAGACAGAGTTTTGCATTGTTTTAGACAGTTTTACATTTCCAGGCTGGAATGCAGTGGTACAATTTCAGCTCACTGCAACCATTGCCTCTCAGATTCAAGTGATTCTCGTGTCTCAGCCTCCCAATTACCTGGGATTACAGGTGTGTGCCATCACACTCAGCTCATTTTTGTATTTTTAGTAGAGATGGGGTTTTACTATATTGGACAGGGTTGTCTTGAGCTCCTGACCTCAAGTGATATGCCCACCCCAGCCTCCCAAAGTGCTGGGATTACAGGCATGAGCCACCGAGCCCGGCAGTGAAATATTTTATGGGACAGACTGTCAGATAAGCCCTGGATTATTTTTAAATCAAAATGAGGTACAAATTAGACTGAATAAAGCTTAGTTTCAATTTACAAATACTAAATAATTAACATGTTTACACAATAGGCTAGGCACACCTAAATATAGTCTCCCTTACTCCTCCCACCTACCCCAGGAATTAGGCTTTTAAATAAGAGACTAAATGTGAACTTGACACAGAAAAAGCCCAAACATAAGCATCTATAGCCTATATTCGTACTAGTTTTGCACATAGTTGACATTAATACTGGTAGTTTAGTGGACAGGTCATTGGCTGATTTTTTTGGGGGGAGTGGGCATCCTCTATCATCAGTTTTATGTAATTCCTAAGCTCATGCCTTTTAATACAGGAAAAGTGCTTATTCATGTTCCCTTGGCATTATTTTTATCCACTTATCCAGGAACAAGGATTGTCTGTGTTTCAAACAGTTTATGTTCAGAGGGAGGAAAAGGAATAAATACTGCCTCACAATTAGCAACATCCAAATATTTATTCACTACAACAAAGAGCACCAACCTTCCGCTTGAATGTTATCTTTTCAAAAGTTTCTATTTATCTACCTGTAAGCATGTTACAAAATTATGAATATTTTAAAGTTCTTTTACCATAGGCTGGCCAGCATCTGAGAACTTCACTTTAATATCTTTCAAGTGCTTCAGAATAGGTTCATCATGTTCCTTCAAATTAAAAAAATTAAAAAATGAGTATCTAACATGGCATTTGAGAGCTGTGTTCTGTTACTACACAGATACCAGCTGACTGAGATGTATTTTAAAGTAGTTTTGTATAGCAATTATGAACCTTAAGACTTACTCTCCAGGTTATGGCTTATACTAAAGCTAGTTTATACTGCAGTTCTACTGCCACTGGTAGAGAAAGAGTGTCCAAATAGACAACTAAATCATTACATAGGACAAAAAATTCAAAGTCAAGTCTAAATAAGGCAGATTTGCCCTAAAAATGTTTCCTGATTATAACTGCTGCCTTTTCCAGCTGCTTGTCCCCTTCCTCCTGCATGATCCTCTTCTACTTTGCTAAAGTAGAACTGTACTAATAAGTAATTGTGTGGAGATCATTTCTTTTTCTCCATGTAACTTCCAACAAGGACAAGACAGGGCAACATGTACTACTACAATGCACATGGCAGTGGCTCACTCAAGAAATGCTTAAAGCAGTTCCCAAAGAAGGTGACAACCGTTACGGTTTGCCAGAGAATGTAACCATTGTGAATGAGTTTAACATCTTTATAGTATTCTTTCAAAACGCAAATTTCTCCTGGAAGAGTTGTTTCAGATTTAAAAAGGTTGTTTGGGGTGGGGGAGTAGTTGCATTAACTGCAGCTATAAGATTAACTTTCCCATCATACTTCCATACTAAACTGGTAAAGACAGAAGCCACAGGGTTATGAGAAAACAGCAGTTGATAACGAGCAATTATCAATGGGACCATTTCATTATCTCATTTTTGAAAATAAACTGTAATTTATTTGATTACATTAATCAAAGCTGTAATTTCCCTTCAACAGATATTAGCTGTTTCAAAAGTATGCAATCATTCTAGAAAGATCAACACTGAGAACAGTTGTCAAGCCATTTAAACTTCAAAGGTTTACCCTTCAAAGTAAACTGGTACATTTATGAATAAAATTACCTGAACCATATCACTGAGCAAGTCAACATTCTTAAAAACAGTTAACCAAAATTCAGGAATTCCTTTGGGGTCTTCTTTTTCTTCATCCTTTTTCTCATCTTCAATCTTGGCCTTTTCTTTCAATTCCTCCTTGATAAGTGACAGCATACATTATTTAATATATAGATTAGACCTCTTGATAAAGTAGCAAAGGTATAAAAACCAAAAAGCATACGGTCACCAGATTATTACCTTCAAAGTTCTAGTCTACCTGTGTAAACGTGTATAAACACTGCTGTTACCCCTAACAAACCTTAATCCCATGAAAATGACTGCTACCACACCCCTCTGAAGAGAACCACTAAGACGACCAAGATCTGTAGGAAAAATCCTTTTAGTGAAAAAAAAAATTTTAACTCATTAAAAATGAAGTCTTAAGCACAGTAAACAAGAAAAGCAATACTAATGTGGTCCAATGCCTCATGCCATGGTGTTCTTAATCAAAATATAATATTCTCTTTACCAAACAACATAAAATAGCAATGCCAGAGAGGTGGAACACTTAACAGCACTGAATGTGAGTCACAGCTCTGCCATTATTCATTGTGGGAAAGTCACTTAGAAGCCTCCATTTCTTCACTTGAAAATGGCAACAATCCTCAGCCTATCATGAAGTTAAAAAAGAAAAGCATATAATGAACCTACAAACTAAAAACTATAGGCCGGGTGTGGTGGCTCATGCCTGTAATCCCAGCATTTAGGAGGCTAAGGCAGGCAGATCACTTAATGTCATAAGTTCGAGACCAACCTGACCAACATGACAAAACCCCATCTCTACTAAAAATACAAAAAATTAACCAGTCATGGTGGTGCACACCTGTCTCCTAGTTGCCGGGAGGCCGAGGCAGGAGAATTGCTTGAACCCAGGAGGTGGAGGTTGCAGTGAGCCGAGATCACGTCACCGCACTCCAGCCTGGACAACAGAGTGAGACTCAAAAAACTATAAAAATAGGCTGAGCACAGTGGCTCAATGGTTCAAGTCCATAATTCCAACACTTGAGGAGTCTGAGGTAGGAAGACTGCTTGAAGCCAGGAGTCCAAGACCAGCCTGGGCAAGAAGACTCTGCCTCTACAAAAAAAAATGTAGAGATTAAGCTGGGCATGGTAGCATCAGATAGTCCTGGCTAGTCAGGAGGCTGAGGTGGGAGGATAGCTTGAGCCCAGGAGTTCAAGGCTGCAGTGAGCTATGATCATGCCAGTGTACTCCAGCCTGGGCAAAACCCTATCTCTTAAACCAAAAAAACTATAAAATGCAAGGAAATAATGACTTTTTGAGCACAGATGGTGGTGCCACATTGGATAATAGCTTATCTGCACTATCATTCTTAAAAAAAAGAAAAAATATTTCCTAGGTATAAAAATATAACTGATTATGTAATATTGCATTCCATCATTAATGCTAAAATTTCTGACAAGTCCTAAGATTTCATCATCTAAAAAACACACTAAAATAAAAGATGATACTAACCGAAATCTCATCTTCTTCATCTGGTTTCCATTCACATTCTTCTTCCGTAGGTTCATAAATTGCATTAATAATCTCAAATCGCTAAAATGATTTAAAAAAAAAAGGCTGTATAAAAACACTGACATCCAAGCTAAAACCAGTGGTTTCTCACTAAGTAGTCTTATAAATTTAACAAATGCATACCACAACCTTAACTGCTATTATTGACAGATCCTCCAAGTGCCCCTAATAACAATTTCAATGAGAGTTCTAAAGACCAAGCTCTTCCAAGTCTGCTTATATCTCCAGAATTTGTCTTCTAGAACGTTAGATGAATTAAACTAATTAGGAGAAAGCATTACCTTATCAAATAGAGGCTGATAGAGAACAGCATACTTCCTTTCAAGATCGTGAACTTCCTCATAGAATTTGGCTTCTATCTGTGCACATTTAACTTGCAGGTTTTTGAGAGCATTCACTCGTCTTTTAACTACCCTAGGCAGGCTGAAAGGTTAGAAACCAGTTACACAGCATCATAGTAAAATGGAAGTCACACTTCTTTTGTCATACTGAAACTGAAGCATCAGAGTTAGTGAATGACAGGTTTTTTTATCTGAGGCAAAAGACAGATTCAAAGCAAAAAAAAAACCAAATAGATATGAATATAGTGACCCAGTGGCTATAAAATATTTCAAAAGTAGCAATGAACTAGGTAAATTGATAAAGATGATGCAAATCATACTGCCAACCCTAAATCTTTAACCAAGTGTTGGACTTGTCATTGCTGAATTCATGGCCTGACCATCTTGGTTCAGAGAACAATGATTACTTGGATTTTTCTTTTACATATATCTCACCTATACAAGTTATTAGGAAAAGGAAGGGAGCATATGTGTATTAGGAAAAAGGACAAGATCCCACACACCATTATTTTATTTTAGTCTCCATATTTAATCAGGAATTAGTAATTACATTATTAAATAAGAGTGTAACCTACCATAAAGAGGAGACATGTATTTTTAAAGTAACAGCTTTAGGCCACGTGCTATGGCTCACACCTGTAGTCCCAGCACCTTGGGAAGTTGAGGACGGTGGACTGCTTGAGCCCAAAAGTTAAAAATGAGCCTGGGCAAAACCCCATCTCTACAAAAAATACAAAAATTAGCTGGGTGTGATGGTGCACGCCTGTGGTCCTAGCTACCTAGAAGGCTAAGATGATAGGATCACCTTAGCCTACGATGTTGAAGCTGAATGAGGGAGATTGCACCACCATGGCACTCCAGCCTGGCTGACAGAATGAGACCGTCTCAAAAATAACAGCTTTGATGAGATAAAATTAATACACCATACAATACACTGTGAGGCACTGTTTTTTGTTGTTTTATTTTTTAACTTTTATTTTAGGTTTAGGGGTATATGTGAAGGTTTGCTGTGCAGATTATTTTATCACCCAGGCATTAAGCCCAGTACCCAATACTTATCTTTTTACTCATCTCCTTCCTCCCACACTCCGCCCTCAAGTACCTACAGTGTCTGTTGTTTCTTTGTGTTCACGAGTTCTCATCATTTAGCTTTTACTTATAAATAAGAATGGGCGGTATTTGGTTCTCTGTTCATGTGTTAGTTTACTAAGGATAATAGCCTCTAGCTTCATCAATGTTCCCACATGATCTCCTTCTTTTTATGGCTGCAGAGTATTACCTGGTGTATATGCACCACATTTTCTGTATTACATCTGTCACTGATGGGCATTTAGGTTGATTTCATGTCTGCTACTGTGAATAGGGGGGACTGATTTTTAAAAATTACACACACTAGGTTATGAATCTCCTAAAGAATGATTAAACCTCTGTAACAATAAATGTTCACACTTAAAATGTATGTAACTTCAAGTAAACTATGCAACAGATACAAAATCCAGGTTAAAATTTCTTGACAGAGAATTCTATAAATCAAATAATTCATTTACTTAGCCACTACTTTATTTAAGACTATCAGAAATAAAAAACAAACACTTAAAAGATACCAACTTTCCATTTCTGTTAATTATAAGCAAAAAGCACTATTCTGCCAAGGCGGTGAACTAGCATGGGATTCTGGCTTTTTTTTGCCCCTTCAAAAAGCTATCCCTAACAACTTCAAACCGAGAATGAAGCAACTACTTCAGGCACATACACACCATAAGCAATTTCAGGTAAGACTGGAGGTTGTGTTTAACTGGTACAGGGTAACTAACAACATAGAGAGGGAATGGCCACAGCAGGCAGCAGTGCAGACAAGCTGGAAGATAGCATTTCTGCAAGAAAGTTTCTTAAGTTCTGCTCCTGCCTTGCAACAATCATTGCCTGCCACCTTCACCCTTCACAAGAGTCCAATGCCAGGGTTCCTGAAATAACATGAAGAGTTGATGAAAGCTGTACTGGTTCAAAGCCCTCAAACATGCATTTGATCCAATCTAGGAATAATAAATTAGACAACCAAAGGAGGCTGGTAGCCACCCCTACAAAGTACACCATAAAAATTGCCTGGATTGGCAGCAAACTTGGTCTAAGGCAACTACTGCTCTACTACTTAGGTTCACCCTGTGCCCTTCTCCGTGTCACAGACCTTCATTTCTCTAAAAATCAATCAGGGTCACTGTATTGCCTAATGTGCCGGAGCTCAAAGGCAAAAATAACTAGACATTTCGAGAGTACAATTTCTAGGAAAGAGTCAAAGTATCATCTGAAGCAGCATTATTAGACAGAGAATTTAAACAAGAATGCAAATATAGAGATGAAGAAGATTAACAACATGCAACAAGACCAAGAAATCTAAAACAGAGTGGGAATATTAAGAAAAATACAATAACTAAAATAAGCAACAAATAAGAGAAACAGGATAGATTCAACTGAAGATAAAGTCCATGATGTTGAAAAGTTCTACCAGAAGGCAGCATGAAAGACAGATGGAAAATAGAAAAGCTGAGATATGGATGACGAAAGTAGCAACAGCTAACAAATAGAGAAGGGGTACAATACTTAATAAATGGGAATAATAAATTTCTCAGATTTAAAGCAATATAAAAATCCTTTCTCTGCTTCCTAGATGGGTTAACGAGACTTATGAATATCAACGACAAAAGAAAATCCTAAAGGTGTCCAGTGAAAAAGGAATCAGACTAACAGGCATTAAAAGAAACACTGAAACACAGAAGAAAAAAAATTGTACTTTTTAAGAACTTTGAATTTACTATTTCATAGCCAAACTATTATTCAGATATAAAAGCAAAATGAAAATTTTATCAGGTATACCAGGCTTTAGGTTTGCCACAGATACTCACTATATATTACTAAAAGCAACTTTTGAGGAAGTTTAAAAAAAAATCCAGGAGATTCTATTTAAGGTATGGGTGTGGTCAAATATCTTGGTAAATTTCTTGCCTTGAAGGGAAAAACAGAGGGCCAGAGAAAGCACATTTGTAAATATAGATATTGGTAAATTTAAGAAACCAATGGGGGCAAATAAACTTAGATATTGGGTTATAAACCACTACCATATTAACAAAAACCAACACATTAACTTCGGAACCGCAGAAGACGACTTGATCTATCCAATGGGAAGCAGAAAAGAAGGAAGAAAAACTCGAAGTCAAATAAATTAAAAAACAGAGCAAGACGGCAGCAATACATCCAAAAATACAACTTTTAAGAAATGTAAAGTCAGACTTACTAATAATAAAGAAGCAAATATTGAGGCTGGGTACAGTGGCTCATACCTGTAATCCCAGTACTCTGGGAGGCCCAGGCAGGTGAATCGCCTTAACGCAGGAGTTCAAGACCAGCCTGGGCAACATGGCAAAACCCTGTCTCTACAAAAATATAAAAATTAGCCAGGCATAGTGGTGCATGCCTGTAGTCCCAGCTACTTGGGAGTCTGAGGCAGGAGAATTGCTTGAGCCCAAGGCTGAGGCTGCAGCAAGCCATCATTTTGCCACTGCACTCCAGCCTGGATGACAAAGCAAGACACTATATCCAAAAAAATAAAAGCAAACATTGACACTAGAGGAAAACACAAAGACGGAAAAAGACATATTAGGTTAAAGGTTTAAAAAAAAAAAGGCTGGGGGTGATGGTTCATGCCTGTCTGTATTGCCGGCACTTTGGAAGACCAACGTGGGAACTATCACTTGAGCCCAAGAGTTTAAGACGGGTCTGGGCAACACAGGGAGACCCCATCTCTACAAAAATAATAGCCAGGCATGGTGGTATGTACCTGTGAGTCCCAGCTACTTGGAAGGCAGAGGTGGGACGACTACAGTTAGCCATGATTGTGCCACCACACTCCAGTGTGGGTCGTAGAGCAAGATCTTGTCAAAAAAGCTAGGGGTAGTTACTGAAATATCAAATAGAAATGATGGCCAAAAAAAAAAAAAAAAAAAAAAAAGATAAAATACAAAGGAAGACATATATCAGTAAAATGAAACAAGAGAACAAGAAATGTTCTCACAAATATCATACACCTAATATGGCTTCAAAATATTTCAATCTACAAGTGACAGAAAAACTGTCAGGTCAAGCAAACAACGAACAGGCAGAAATAGAGAGAAGCTGAAGAATATAATAAGCTTGAGCTATTAATTTCAGCATGCAGATCTTCACAATCAACATTTACAAAAATAAGAGTATTAAGGCCATAAAAAACACAAATGAACAAATAAAAATCAAATAAATTAAGCATTCAATTTTAAAAACTGAAAAGAGTAACATAGAGCAAACCTAAAAAAGAAGTAACATTAATGCCAGAAACCAGACAGCAGCAGTAACAAAAGACAACATGGAAAAGGAAAAGCAAAATTAATATTTTAAGAAAGCAATAAGATCAAGACAACTAGCAGAATTAAGATGCAAAACACAGATTATGAAAACCAGATTTTTAAGACTATTGTAAACTATGTACTAATCAATTTTAAAACTAGGTAAGTGCATACATGTTTAAAATATAAAACTCCAAAACTGATGAGAGAACTTGAATAAATTAGTATGTTTAAAAAAAAAATTCTCCAAAATTCCCCAGGACCTCTACTTCCCAAAGTCTAAAGGCCCAAAGTTAATTGTTTCAGGAAAGAAAAGGTGTTTCTTTCCTGAAACAACTTGTATTAGATAAGAATTAACTGTTCTTGGGGTAGAACTTGTCTAAAAATTTACTTTGGGCCTTTGGAGTTTGGGAAGTAGAGGTCCTGGGGAGTTTTGGAGAATTTTTTTTCAAAACATACTAATTTATTCAAGTTCTCTCATCAATTTTGGAGTTTAAAAGGAAAGAAAATAAAGGAAAAATAAAAAATAAAAGCAACTCCATTCATTTCATTAGGCAATTGTATTTCTGACTCCAAAAACCAGTTAAATGTTACCACTTCCTGAAAGTGTCCTCATGCATGTACATACATGCATGCACACAACACAAGCTTATTTCACTAACAAGAACCATAAAATTCAATTACTCAACAATGTAACGATAATACATCATGATTCAATTTCCTACAAGAATGCAAGGCTATTTTGATATCCAAAATCAGTATTTCCAAAACAAAAACATATATTTACTATTTACTTACTATAGGGAAGGGAAAAGTTCAATAAAGCATCTTAATTGATATAGTTAAAAAAAAAAGTTCAGATTTAAAAAACAGTAAATAGGCACTGAATTTAATGGAGATTTTATATTAATTCCCAATATGAAAGGAAATAAGACAACACAGTAGTGAAAGTGCTGGTAATGTTGTAAAGAAAATTATGTGGCATAATGTAATGTGGAAGAACAGAGCTAAAACTGCCATTATTTGCAGATAAAATCTTCTGACGGGGGCCAAAACAGAACGCATTACTACAGTAAGTTTGGCAAGGTTACTGGATACAAGAGCAACTTAAGAACAGCCAAACATACAATAAAAAAGATGCTATTCACAACAGCCACACAAAATATACAGAAATTAACTTAATCAACAGACTCTATGAAGATAACTTTGAAACTAAAGACACAGAATGTGACTTGAAGAAGTATGTGAACGAGACGGTATTTAAAAAATTAATTCTGTCAATCTATAAATCCAATGTAATTCCTATCAAAGTTTTAAGGTTTTTTTGCTTGTTGATAGCCCTGATAAACTTAAACTGTCAAAAATGTGAATGATTGTGTTGGGGGAGAAGTGCCCTGCTAAATACTAAGACATGCTATAAAGTTATAGTAATCAAGTGTGACAATGACAAGAGACAGAAAGACCAACACGACAGAAGAATGCTGCTCAAAGACAAACACAGGTGTTTACAACTTGATATGCAATGAAGGTAGGTGGTACCTAAATGGGGGAAAAATGGATTGCTTAGTGAATAGTGTTATAAAAACTAGCTCATGTCATTGGAGGAGGACCCCCCCCACCCAAATTAAGCCAGCCTAGCTCATTAAAAAAATGAAGCAGAAGAAAAGGGAACTGGAAGCTTATATAGCAAACATAAAAGTAGACTCTAGAAGCATTTAAGACCTAAATATAAAAGGTAAAACTATTCAGTAGGAAACGTAGCAGGACCAGGAGGTCCTGCTACGTTTCCCGCCCCCCCCCCCCGCAAAATGGTTTATTTTTTTTTATATATATAAAAAATTAGGGACAGGTAGAGGCAGGGGCACATGCAGGGGATAGCAAAGCCCTTCCTTGTCCTCAGGCCTCTGCCCTCAGCCTGCAGAGGGAGACTGGGAGGTCAGAGGAGCAGGCTGAGGAGGGGCCTGGCCCAAGGCTCCAGCCCACCCTCTGAGAGTCAGAAGCCAAGCCCTCCTTCCCTTCCAGGCTCCCTGCCCTGAGCCAGCGGGCAGCATGGAGTCCGTGGGGTGGCTGCCACCCTTCCTTCACTCTGAGGTTGGGCTGAAGAGCAGATGGCAGCAAGCCTGGCAACACTAAGTTCTAGGGCTAGTACTCAGACCCCTGTGCCTTCTTCCTGGGTCCACTGGACTGTGCCAGAGACGTGGCAGCCAATAAGCACCATCTCCAGGCTGTGGGGATCCCAGGGCAAGGCCAGGCCCCCTGACCCTAATGGGGGTCAAAAGCACAAGCTTCAAAAGCACAAGCCTTAGGGCAAAGTATTTTACTAAAATAAAGCTTGTTTACCAGAGGACTCCATGGATAAAATTAGTAGAAATGACACATTATTTAGAATGCCTAAAAACAGATAAGGCAATAACATTTAGAATACAAAGACTTTTGCAAAGCATTAAAAAAATAGCAATCCCAACAGGAAAATGGGAAAAGGGTTCCAATGAGCAACCGAAAAGGCTCACAAGCATTATGAAGAAAAGCTGCTCATTAGAAATCATAAAATACAAGTAAGACAAAATGAGTCTGCATCTCTTAGACTGATTTAAAAATAAAAACAAAAAGACCACAAAGCTGGATGCTACTAATTGTTGGCAGCCATAAAGATAAATCCATCTTCTTGCACTGGGTATACAGTATTTCTGGAAATCATGCTAGAAGTATAATACTCAAAGGCTTACATACTCTATAAAGTGGCAATCCCACTGCTGAGTACACATCTCAAAGAAATTCTTACACAGTTCCTTTACAGGACATGTACAAAGATGTCCATCACAATTCATGTTGATAAAGAAGTCCATCATAGGAAAAGCAAATAAAACAGTGAACATACACCACAGAGAACTAGGCAACATTTAGAAGGTACTAACTATAATTAACATATAGATAGTAACCTGAATGGATCTTAAAATCACAAAAAAGTTTTTTAAGTGTGTAAGCTGAGTAAGATATTCATGCTATTATGAATGATTTATGTCACCAGTGAAATAAGAAATCGGTATTTCTTCTAATTCTGTGCACTTCCAAACACACCTATAAACAAATCTCAGAAATACTTAATATCAGTGTACTTCCTATAAACTTGAACCAAAATAAATAAACTTTAAAAGATCAATGTAAACAGGTGGTACTAAGCACAATTTTAAACTTCCAATAATCCTATACTGGATACTAACAGATAACAGGTTTCTACTACTGCATATCTAAATTCTAGATGGTCTTAAAAATGGATATGCCTGCAATGTTGATTGATTATAGAAAGATAAATAAGGACCATGGAAAAGGAAAACTTGTACCTTTCAATGTATCCTGTTGGTGTTTCTACCAGACCATCAAGTCTTTCTTGAAGGGCTGCAAGAATCTGAGGATTTTGCATCATCTGAACAGTTAGCTGACGTGCTTTAAAACAAAACAAAACAAAACAAAAGGGCATCGAAAGAAGGATTTTATGAAAATGTATTATGCTTTTTATATAGGACAATCCAATCTCATGAAGTTTTCCTAACTGGCCCATAAATTGCTGGTATGTACAATGAGTAGAAATGGGCAGGGCAAGTTAAAGAGAATGTATTCTAAGAAAACCCAATGTTCAGGAATAATTCAGATTCCTAAAGACTTATCTCTAGTCAAGGCATTTCTCAAAAGGCCACTGCCACAAGTACCAAGAACAATATCCTTTCTCTTCCTAGTATCTTGTGTTTCACCCACCTTGCATTTTAGGAAGCTCAAAGCTTCATTCAGATGCCTATCTATGGCTCTTGACAGTCCTCTGAATGCAGACAACACATATCAGAAAAGTGCAAATATACTGACAGTTTTAGGCCCAGGAGAAAGGCAAAGTTCGTGATTGATGTTTATGTTTAATGCTTGTGTAATGTATTTTTATATGTATGAATAAAGTTAGTAGTTGAGACAGTCAAAGGTTGTAACTGAAGCCAAAACAAAATGTGGTTATCAACAGCTTTTTAAAAACATACTCAATCCAAATTTACGCCAATTTATACAAATTATATTACTAATCTTCTCTTCATCAATACAGTTATTACACAAAGTGCCATTAATTATTAATAATATTTCAATTATTAGATGATGTACAGCCAGGATAACCAATACAGATTTTAAAATATCAATACTGGTCACTGAGGATACAGTTCTGTATCTGTTAAGAAATGTTACAAAATGAAAGCTGAAGCTATTAATACAAGTTCTGAAGTCTTTTCACAATTAACTTCCATCTGGTTTAAAAATGAAAAGCTGAGTCATCTGGTACCTTAATATTCTTGGCCCAGATCTATAGGACATAACCTAAGCAGTACAATCCCCATCACCACTCCTTTCAAAAATTATCTGCTAAAATAAATTGTGAATATTACCTACACTTAATAAATGGCTTTTTTGCTTGAAGGAGTGGATTTTTTAAAAGTCACACACTACATGTTCTCTATATATTAAACACTAAACATACTGTCATAAGCACCACATCAAACCTAAAACATTTCTTTTTTTTTGAGGCGGAGTTTCGCTCGTTACCCAGGCTGGAGGCTGGAGTGCAATGGCACGATCTCGGCTCACCACAACCTCCGCCTCCTGGGTTCAGGCAATTCTCCTGCCTCAGCCTCCTGAGTAGCTGGGATTACAGGCACGCGCCACCATGCCCAGCTAATTTTTTGTATTTTTAGTAGAGACGGGGTTTCACCATGTTGACCAGGATGGTTTCGATCTCTTGACCTTGTGATCCACCCGCCTCGGCCTCCCAAAGTGCTGGGATTACAGGCTTGAGCCACCGCGCCCGGCCGGTAAACCTGAAACATTTCTAAATTCAGACAGAACTCATGAGCAGCTGTTTTACACAGCTACACCAAGTCACTCCAACAGTGGAGGATGCAAAAACGATGACTTCTGACTCGCTGTATCTATACCTACCCTTCCTTGCTCTCTCTCTCTCTCTCTCTCTCTCTCTCTCTCTCACACACACACACACACACACACACACACACACACACAGTTACTAGAGGTATGGACCAGTAGATAAAATGAACAATGAGCAAGAGTCCAAAAAAACAGACTGGCACTTATAACTACCCTCTAGTAGACATGTGCCAGCAATCACTGGCTCCTGAAGTAATTTAAAGTAATACCTTTGATTTTTGTTTCTTCACCAGTTTCTTCTTCTTCTACTTCTTCAACATCATCCAAATCTTGATCAAGTTCAGACTGTTCTTTGCTATAACATCACAGTATCACACCAAGGTTCAAATGTACCAATTACCAAAAAAAATTATAGAAAAAATTCATTTTCAAAATTAGCATCTCTTTCAAAGACATAAAATAGGAAATTCAAAAGGTAATTCAGTTTTCTAACTTCAGACGTAAACAAGTACAAACTGGAAGTTTTTAAACTTTCATTAAAGGCATCTGGTCACATGTAAAGTTTATACTTTTCAAGATATAAAAAAACGGTTTTGCAGGTTTTTGAGGGATGTGATGTCAACAAGCATGTGCACTCAACCAAATATCCATTGATTTTACTTTTCCTTCTTAGTAATAATATCCTTATTTTATATGAGATGGCAACAAACCAAGCTAAAAGTCTACTTTTCCTAGCCTACCTTTAGCTAGACTATTTTGGCAGCAAGATAAAAAACCAGAGGTACTGTATTTCTTTGAGGGAGTATCCTTAACAAGATGGTAGATAGCTGGGAAGCCTTTATCTTAATCCCTCTCCCCCTCCCATTTGGCATATGAGTATGATGGATAGAGCTCCAGCAGCCACAATGGACTGGGAGGCCTCCTAGAGAATGAAACCCACCAGCTAAAGAAAAAGGAATTAGGAAAAACAAAAGAATCCTGGACCGCTTATGGCTGTGCAGCAACTGTAACAGCCTATACTGTCTTTGGACTTTCCTTTTCTTTACTTCATAGTGGATGTGAGAAAGAATAAAGACTTTGGAGTCTAATTCTTGTTTAGAACAAAGCCAAGACGATAGCACCATGAAAGAGATGAAAGAGAAGGTAAAAAGCACGAAGATAACATCCTTCCCATTTCATCTTAAAAAATCACCAAAAATCTAATTTGTGAACAAGGGATTGCATCTAATATTAGAAAGGAAATTAAGGACTCCTAAATCAATATAAAAGGTCATCGAACAATTCCTGTGTGAATATTTTAACATTTGGATTAGAAATTTAGTTGCTTTTGTGTCTAAACAGCATTTGAAAAAATTAATTTTCCACAAAGACAAATAATGACTTAATTTTCATACAAATACAGAAAAGCTCAAGTGTACTCTGCTGGAACAATTTAAGTTCCTGTCAACAAAGGAAAAAAATTCAGTCTTCAGAAATGATACATATTATTTTTGAAAGTCACCCAGGCTGGAGTGCAGTGGCACAACCTCGGCCCACTGCAACCTCTGCCTCCCAAGCTCAAGCAATTCTTGTGCAACAGCCTCCTGAATAACTGAGACTACAGAAGTGTGCCACTGTACCTGGCTAATTTTTGTATTTTTAGTAGACATGGGGTTTCACCATGTTGGCCAGGCTGGTCTCAAATTCCTGGCCTCAGGTGATCCTCCCACCTCGGCCTTCCAAAGTTCTAGGATTATTACAGGTGTGGGCCACCGCACCTAGCCTATTTCTAGAAGAACTCTGATTTAGTATAAACTTAAAGTGTACACACATAAGGGCCACTGGTTACAGATAACTGGAGCAACTCCTCCTCCAGTGTCTTTCATCCTTTATTGAACATCTATATCCAAAGGCTTTTAAAACAGTTGTCCACAAACTATGTCCATGTGGCCAAATCCAGCCCACCCTATTACCATAAATAAAATTTTACTGAAACACAGACACACTACATTTATGTACTGTCTGCTTTCACATTACATCAGCAGAGTTGAGTACAGTCATCCCTCAGAGATTATGGTGGACCCCCAGGAAACCACCTACCAAAATCCCGGGATGTTCAAGTCTTTTATATAAAATGACACAGTAATTGCAACTGACCTATGCCCATCCTCCTGTATACTTTAAATCGCCTCTAGATTACTTACAATAATACTATATACAATGTAAATATAAATAGTTGTATTAGGCTGGACCAGACAAAGTGGCTCATGCCTACAATCCCAACATTCTGGGAGCCAGGGCAAGAGGATCACTTGAGGCCAGGATTTCAAGACCAGCCTGAGTAACACAGTGAGAATTCTCTATTAAAAACAAAACAAACAAACAAAAAACAGTAATAGTTGTTATATTCTATTGTTTATTTGTATTTATTATCATGCTGTTATATTTTACTGTTTTTTTTCCCCTAATATTTTCTATCTGCAGTTGGTAGAATTCAGATGCAAACTCATGGATGCTGAACCCCCAGATACAGAGGGCCAACTGCAGTTAGAGAATCCTATGTGGCCTAGAATGCCTAAAATGTTTACTACCAAGCCTTTTACAGAGAAAGGTTTAATCAATCTGGTTTTCAAGAACAAGAATCCCCTCTGACTTCTAAACTCCCAGGGCTAACAGACATCCAAAATTAAACAATAAGGGAAGAAGGAAATCAAGCTGTCATACTAATTTATTGTTTTTAAAGTTTAAAATGAGTTTCAAGGTTGAGACGGCCAATGGTACAAACTCATCTGATCTTAATCCTTCTAAAATCTCCACTACAATTATAATAAAGGGTTTGTTTGTTTGTTTAGCAGACTAAGGCTGAAATTAAAGAAACAAAAGCAGTAACATTTTGGAAGCTGGAAACCAGACAAGTGATAATTTCATTGAGAGAACTGAAATCTAAGTTAGCAGTGGGGAAAGCTGAGAACCAGCCCAATTACAGTCTTTAAAAGGATAAGACCTGGTGGTACCAGGTTCATTTCTAGAACTAGGGTAAAGGGTGGGGCAGGAGAAAAGGTAGCTAAAACAAGAACGTAAAAACTGATAAGCAGCTAAATCATGAGATCTTCTCCCCTACCACAGCAGAAATACTCAGTTCCTTCTTGGGAAAGGATAAAATTCAGAACTTGAACTGGAAGACAACAGACACAGTTAACAGTATCAAAGATATAGGACTGACTATGTACACATTAGAATGCTAAATGCAGGGACTCCTCTACATTTAGAGGAACACCGGAAGCCAGATCTTTCTTTACCCAGACACTATTCAACAATGAATTTGACTACCCCAGAAAAAATAAATAAACATTCTACAACTGGGGGTTCTAACAAATGCCCACTCTGGTGACCCTATACTGAAATCCCAAATTAACAAGCCTCCTCCCGCTCCAACACTCAAATTTTCTAATCAATTTTCCTTTCTTTAAACATCTCTGAATTGTCCTTATATCCCACCCAACCCAATCTTAACGAGCAACCAAACAAGTATTGCCTTATATTTTGAGGAAAGCTTCTTAGATTGAGACTAAAACAAACAAGGGAAAAAAAATATAAGAGCATACAGACTATACAGGTAGAAGAAACATCCAGAGAAAAGACATTACCATTGATGAAACAAGAACAGGATGCTATCATAAAAATAAAAAAATAAAAATAAATAAAAAACAGGAAGAACAAAAGAAGTCTTGGAAACTAAAACAACATAAATTTTAAAACCCAATACACGAGTTGAAAGATAGTCTTCAGCTCTTCCCAGAGAGAAGAGCAAAGAGACAAAGATGAAAAATAGGACAAAAGATCATTAGAAGACCAATCCAACACACAACATCTAATAGCAGCCCCAGAAAGAGAAAACAGAAATGAGGCAATCGCAAAGTTAAATCAAGAATATCCCTGGCACTAAAAGCCACTGAATAGCTGCACTGAAAGGGTCCACTGCGAATGTGTAACATTAAGAGAAAAAATAATGTGAAAATTTCAGAACTCTGAAGCCAGACTAGCTTCCAGAAATATATGTACTGTAAATGTATTTCTTAGCTATCACACACAAATGATTATGGTTAAGAATTGTGATGACTCTGAACTTCAACACAGCAACACTGGAAGCAAGGTGACAATGGAGCAGTGCCTTCAAAATTCTGAAGAAAAGTGACTCCCATCTTACTATGCTACACCCAAACAACCTATCCAGCATAGAAGCATAAGTATCCAGCATAAAAGATAGAATAGTCGTTTTGAGTCATGACATGTCTTAAAATAATTTAACTCCCTTGTACTCTTCCAAGAAGGTATTAACAAAATGAGAAGGCAATGCGAGATACAGCAAACAACAAACCCAAGAGGAGAAACAAGATGAAACCTCGGAAGGTAGTGAAATAGATCCAATGACAGCCATGTCACCAAGGTTAAGCAATCCAAATCAGAAGTGTGACACAGGAGACAATCACTTTACCATTATCACTAAAAATGTCTGCTTCCACTCTTCTGGTTTTTTTAAATGCTGAAGATAGAATGCATAAGAATGGCCCAAATTCTTATATGTACTTCTTTGTGTTGACCTTGTACTAAAGTTTCCAGCCCTCCCGGTATCATTCGCTGATGCCTACAACAGCTATGCACAATCATTTAGCATACCCTCACTTGTAAGTGCTCTATTTTACCACGGGCTACTGTAAAATTACACAAATACTGTGCACCTCATCCCATTCTTCCTGACCCTAGTTCTATAAAATGCCCATTCACAGTAGAATCCTGCCACATGCCAACTTGCTTAAACCTATGCTTCCCAGGATGCATGACTTTGCCCAATACTTCTCCAGAATAAGTCTTTCTAACGCCTCAGGAAAGCTGAGGCCAGACTATGACCCAGATAGTCTTTTTTCCTTGTTATCCTATCTTACAGCCTTCAGCTAACAGTGGTAATGTTGCTTTACTCAGCTAACTTTGTGATCACCATTCAGATTTTCAAAATTAAACACTGATTGAGAATTTATTGAGAATTTATAGGTGTTAAAGCTCTAAAGGAAAGCAAAGAAAAGAATCAGCAAAAGTCAGGATAGCGCTTATATATCTGCGAGGGAAAGGTGCAACTGAGAAGGAGCACACAAGGCTTCTAATAGTAATGTTCCATTTTTAACTTGTCTTAATATTCCTTAAGCTCTACATATAAATACATTTTATTCACACTTTGGGCATTTGGTATATTACAATGCAAGTAGTAAAATCTTTGGGAAATATATACAATAAAAATTAATTCTGCAAGTATTTATAATCTATAATGCTCAGCACTTTCTTAAAAATAAATAGTGGCAAATGGTTTCATATATTTATGATCATACAGTCTATATTTTATCTTGAATACACTGCACTCAACTTTTAGTAAAAATAGGTACTAAGCATTAGTAACTACATTTTCATAATACATAATTCATGCTACTTGCTGTTAAAACATCACAATACAAAGTGATGCCAAAAATCTCTGAAAAAGAACCAACTCTCTGCCACTTACTTGTCAATGTCTGCCATGTTGTAAGAACTCCAAATATCTATGGAGAGAAACATCAATGTTAAAAAAAAGAATATGATTTACTTAAAACCAATAAAAACATATGAAGCCAAAACCCTTTAAATCAATACTACACTGAAAACTACACCAAGAAATGTCTGTTTCCTTTAAAATACTATCAGTGTTAAGAAGAAAATTCATGGAACATGCAAATTCTTCCTTACCAGTAACAAAAATAATTTTTCATAGGATATTATCTAAAATAAGAAAAGTTACCATTAAGCTTTTAGAATCTGTTGTGTAAAGATTGTAATAGCACCATTGGTTAAAAAAAAATCCAACATTTGCTAGAATCATAGGAAAGGAACAGTACAAAAGGGTCTTCATTCATATTCTTTCAACAATCAAAAAGGTGAACTTCTGCTTAAATTTTGTGGCTATGTAAAATCTTAAAACAAAATCCATTTCATATTTAGCAATATTCATTTTTATAATCTGATGCCTACTGTACTCACTATGCCCCTTGGTTATCTTTTTTAAAAACACTTCATCCCTGGCTCAAATATCAACCATTTAGACTATTTCAAAAGCTCTGGGTCCCAGTCTTGATGTCAGGTAAGCCTTCCTTATCTCTTCAAATGTATATGTACTTTATGTTAGATAACTGATAACCAGCAACCTTCAACTTCCCCTAGATATGCTGTGGACACTGTCAAGACTTGTGGTTACCAAACCTGAATAAGTTTACCGTAAGGACTGAACAGAGCATATCCTAATTTCCTTCTCACTAAGAGATTAGTATGAAGCTGGAGAATACTGCTTTTAGAAAAACAAATCTTATTAAGCAGAGGAGTTATATTCAGGCAGAAAAAAACGGCGGAATGCCACAGGTAATCTACAGATTACATAAAAACTAAAGCAAGTTTAGATAGAATCCACATTAAAATCAAGTTTATCTTAGCCAGGCACAGTGTTCGTAGAAGCCTGTAGTCCCAGCTGCACAAGAGGCAGGAAGATCACTTGAGAACAGGAGTTCAAGGCCTGCCTGGAAATATAAGACCCTATCTCTAAAAAAATAAATACATACATACATAGAATCAAGTTATCTGGTAAAAATTAAAATCATAGTACATATTTAACCCACAAAGTCCTACAAGATGTGTTTACTTTCATAGCAACATATCTAATATACCGATGAACAAAGAGTTTTTAAAAATGGAAAAGATCCTGATTTTAGCAGTTAAGTGCTAATATTTTGGGAAAACATTATTACTGATCTAGTCTATCCTTTAGAGTAATTATAAAGAAAATATTTCTTCCTAATATGTCTAACTCTATAAATATTTTCTATTTGTTATAAATAATTCCTAATAGTACTGATGAATTTTTCTAGTGATGCTGGGTAATGAGTCAACATTTACAAAATGTTTAACAATTATAAATACTAATCAAAAATTTAAAAATACTGAATCTCTGACATCAAAGAAATGCAAGTAGGATACCAGTTTGTTTATTACATCATCAATAATTTCCTTTTAATACAGGGAAACACATGTGCATATGCATCCTTATTTCTGGCTACTGTTGCTGTATCTTTCTGGAAAGCAAACTGACAAAAGGAATATCAAAAGCTGTAAACATGTCCATCTCAGCCAGGCACCATGGCTCATGCCTGCAATCCCAGCACTTTGAGAGGCCGAGGCAGAAGGATCTGAGGCCAGATGTTCAAGACAAGCCTTGGCAACACAGTGAGACTCTGTCTCTTAAAAAATTTTAAAAAAATTAAAAAAAAAAAATATGTCCACTTCCAGACTTATTCACTTATGAGATCTACCATAAAAAAATTAATATAAAGAATCATATGCCTTTGCTTTCCATGTTCACCTGAAGGTTCTTCCACAGCTCTGAACAAGTCCTGCACATCTTTCGGCTCTCAGTTCAAAGTTTCACTCCTCAGAAATGCTCTCTCCAACCTATACATTCTGGTAAGTAAGATTTATTGGTACACACACTCCTATAAAGGTTTCTTTCTCTCCAACATAAGATGTCAGTCTGTAACTATAAATTAGTGTGACCTGTGGTCTGTTCCAACTGACAAGATTCACGATTACAGGAATTAAATCTGATCCTGCCAATTATAGCATTGTATTCTTCGGGGTAACACACAAAGCTTATTATAAACTTAGTACTATCATGGAATATGCATAAAATGGAATGCTTGGCAGTCACAAATGAAACAGACCTGAGTTGCTATGAAAGCACACCAAAGCAAGGCATAGGATGTAGGCCAAAATCCCATTTGGATATGAAATATATATATATGATGTCACTCATATATGTACATACTTTAATGTAAATAAAATCCTTCTGAAAACATACACCAAAAACCTAACAGGAGTAACCTAATAAGAAAGAAGGGACTGGGGGTAATGAGAACTTATTTACCATTCACCATTACAGTCATGTGTGGATTAAACATAGGAGTATGTTCTGAGAAATATGTCTTTAGATGATTTTGTTGTTGTTCAAACATCAGAGTGTACTTACACAAACCTAGATGGTATAGCCTACTAGGCACCTAGACTATGATACGGATTATTGCTCCCAGTCTACAAACCTATACAGCATGTGAGTGTACTGAATACTGTAGGCAACTTCAATATGATGGCTAAGTAGTCATGCATATGAACACAGAAAAGGTACAATAAAAACAAGGTATCACGCTTTCCCTTAATTTAAAAAAAAAAAAGTAATTATAATCTTATGGAATCATTATCACATATGCACATGGTCCATCTTTGACTGAAATGTCATGTACATGAATGTATTTGGTTTTCCAATACACAGATTTATACAATAATTTCCAATATGAATTTATTCTGAAATTTGCTGGGTTTAATATATAGTGTCTAGTAAATCCAGCAATTGTCAAAAACAGAAGCAAAAAAACCCCAAAACTTCCAAATTTAAATTTTATAACTTTTTATTTTTTTGAGATAGTCTTGCTCTGTCGCCTAGGCTGGAGTACAGTGGTGTGATCTCGGCTCACTGCAACCTCCACCTCCCGGGTTCAAGTGACTGTCCTGCCTCAGATTCCCCAGTAGCTGGGACTACAGGCGCATGCCATCACACCCGACTAATTTTTAGTATTTTTAGTAGAGACGGGGTTTCACTATGTTAGTCAGGATGGTCTCAAACTCCTGATCTCAAGTGATTCGCCCACCTCAGCCACCCCAAGTGCTAGGATTACAGATGTGAGCCACCACATCTGGCCCTTTTATAACATTTTAACGTGTTTGCAGAAGAATGGCTACACTGCTAACTTCAATGTCCATCTGCAGCATTATATTTAAACTCTTAAAATGAAACTTTATCTTTAGTAGAAGATCCAAGACAGATAATTTAGAGAACATTAACAGGAGGCATTTACTCCTCCAGAGAAGGCTGCTCAAACCTGCCCATTCTGGATAAATTATATCTCTTGGTTGTAAGACAGATCTAAATTTCTAGTCAGTTGTAGTCAGATCATTTGGGCTGACATCAACTTTGTAGCAATCTACAAATTCAGGCAAACAACTTCTATTTCATCTCTATTTCATCATCTATATGAAGCAGAAAAACACCTGAGAAAGTAGGACCCAAAAATCTGCATTCTAAACCAGAAACTCAGTTTCTGAGAGGAGGTTCTCAGAGAGTTAGATCACATTGAGAACACAAGTTTAAGTTAATACCCGTATTAATTTTTCATTGCAGTTGACATTAAATAAAATCAGTGAGAATCTTATTTGTTAGACAATAAATTGCATTCCCAGTTCTCTGTGAAAAGCTTTGATTCCTGAGAGCAACAAACTAGATTATGCAGAAAAATATGAGCAAGCTCACACCTGTAATCCTAGCACCGTCAAGGCCAAGGTGGGTGAATTGCTTGAGCTTAGGAGTTCGAGAGCAGCTTGGGCAACACGGTGAAACCCAGTCTCTACTAAAATACAAAAAATTAGCTGTGCATGGTGGCGTACACCTGTAGTCCCAGCTACTTAGGAGGCTGAGGCAGAATTGCCTGAACCTGGGAAGCAGAGGTTGTAGTGAATCGAGATCATGCCACTGCCCTTCAGCCTGGGTGACAGTAAGACCCTATCTCACAAAAATAAATAAATAAATATAATATAATAAAATAAAATCTTAAAAGCACTGAAAGGCTAACAAGATAGTAAGGAATTACCAGTCCAAAACTGAGGGTAAAACAGGAAGCAGAAGGCACTTTTGCACTGAGGTCAATTGCCAATTACAAGCAATGTGAACTTTGGTTTTAACCAAAGTTAAAATCCTGGGCCTGTCCAAGGTGGGTATCTTTACAGTAACCCTCCCAAATTAAAGAGAAACTCCAAGGTGCTATATTCCTCAAGAATAAATTCATTCTCTTGGACAAAAAGCCCAAATTTTCCTCATCTGTATTGCCCTCCAAACCCCAAGCTATGTACTTAAAGTGATCTGTTCCTGGTATATTCAGACACCTGCATATCCAAATATAAATAAAAGCTTCCTTCTAGACCTCAAAAAATTCATACAAGTAATGTTCACAGCCAACAGGAGAAACAGAAAAGAATATAACAGAAACCAATCCTACACAAAGACTTAAATATTGTCCAACAGACTATAAACAAATATATACCTATAGACAAAGTAAGCTGAGTTGTCTTTGATCTCAGCTTGAAAATACAGTATCTGGAAGGAAATCATTAATCTAATAAAGACTTTATACAAGTTCTAGGAGCAGGAGAATAGGACACAATATTTGAAGAAATTGACATCCAAGATTTTTCCTTAAGTGATGAAAGACACCAATCCACAGATTCAGGTAGCCCTACAAATTAAAACCATAAAATAAAGAATCCATATATATGTATTTATCCAGCTCAGAATTTTTTATATGTATAAAAATTATAGGTATCATATATATAAATTATATATATTAAAAATCAATATAATTTTTATATATCAGTAAAAAGGCAAGACAGCAAAAACAAATTCACCTCAAAAGCA